CACCCCCCACCAACCTCCCCCTCCCCCCTTCCCACCCCCACCAACCTCCCCCTCCCCCTCCCCCCTTCCACCCCCCAACCCCCCCACCAACCCCTTCAACTTCCCCCTCCCCCTTCCCACCCCCACCAACTTCCCCCTCCCCACTTCCCCCCCCACCAACCTCGCCCTTAGCTGCGGCCCGGGACAACACCTAGCAGAACGTACCTGCATCGACATAGACGAGTGCACGTGGGGGCCCTGCTTGCACGGGGGCACGTGCTACAACACACAGCCTGGCTTCACGTGCGAGTGCGCCCCTGCCTACACGGGTCAGCACTGTCAGTGGGCGCTCGCTGACAGACAGACTGACGTGCTCGCGGCTCCTGCGGCCATCGTGGGGCTGACGGTCTCCTGCCTCGTCCTAGGTCAGTGTCAGTCTCTTGGTCTTGGGTCAATTCGGGTCAATATTCTTCAATGTATTTGTTGGTTTATTGAGGAAGTGTACTCTGTGATTTGTGAAGTGATATATCGGGTCAGTTCATCTACTGGGTTAGTATATCCGTTGGTAGAATTGACAGGTATATTAGAGGTATATCGGATATATATCAGATTTATTCCCTTTGCTTTGTAAACGTATCCATTGGTATTCTGAATGAATATATGTATTGATATACTAGGTAACTGTACACGCGAGTATGTTGAGTAAATATTTCGCAATAGACCCAATAACATTCCAGTCTCGAACTTTAGGCAACTAAATAGACGAGATAAGAAAGGAACTAAAGGCGCTGTCACACTAGCACTTTTTCCGTCAATTTTTTGACAATTTTCTGAAATTTTGTCCATTTTTGAGCGAATTGTCGATTTTCCAGTCAGACGATAATGATCGTTTCCGTCTGAAAACCTTTCCGTCAACTTTTTCAGCCAAGCAAAGTCAAATCAAGAGCTATATTCGAGAATGTTTGTATTTATGTTAAATATTCGAGAATGTTTGTATTTATGTTAAATAAAATTGTCAAAAAATTGACGGAAAAAGTGCTAGTGTGGCAGCACCTTAACACAGCAAACGAGAGACCGACCAGAGCGCCTTTGTTCCGCCAGTGGTGCTGTGCCTGCTCCTCTCCCTCCGCTGCCGACGCCTCCTCACCTCCAGGCTGCTGCAGAAGAGGCGGGAGGCGGCGGCGAGGGCGGCGAAGGGCGGCGGCGGCGGCGGGGGGGCGGCGTGCAAGGCCAGGGTGATTTCGGACATCACGGGCGAGGCGCTGGCTGACGAAGGGGGTACGGCGATGGGCGTGCTCAGCTGCGAGGAGGCGTCGGGGGAGGAGGGGTGGGCGGGGGGAGGGGAGGGGGAGTGGGCGGAGGAGGGGCAGCGCGGGGGGGAAGGAGGAGAGCCCCCCCAGCAAGGGGTGCGAACGGGTGAGGTTTCGGCTCCCGCACGTCACGCTGGGCGAGAGAGGTAAGTGTGAGAGAGAGAGGGGGGAGATGACGGGGAAGAGAGAGAGAGAGAGGGAGGGAGATAACGGGGAAGAGAGAGAGAGAGAGAGAGGGAGGGAGAACGGGGAAGAGAGAGAGAGAGAGGGAGGAGATAACGGGAAGAGAGAGAGAGAGAGAGGGAGGGAGATAAGAAGAGAGAGAGAGGAGATAACGGGGAGAGAGAAAGGGAGGGAGAGAGAGAGAGAGAGGGAGGGAGATAACGGGGAAAGAGAGAGAGAGAGAGGGAGGGAGATAACAGGGAAGAGAGAGAGAGAGAGAGGGAGGAGATAACAGGGAGAGAGAAAGAGAGAGAGGGAGGGAGATAACAGGAATAGAGAGAGAGAGGGAGGAGATAACGGGGAAGAGAGAGAGAGAGAGGGAGATAACAACAAGAGAGAGAGAGAGAGGGGAGGGAGATAAGAGAGAGAGAGAGAGGGAGGAGAAAGGAAGAGAGAAGAGAGAGAGAGGGAGAGGAGAGACAGACAGACAGAGAGAGAGAGAGAGAGAGGCTAATAGTCATAGGGGGATAATACCATGGTGACTACATCATATATTCATACAAAATTCCTAAAAAAAAAAAAAAAAAAAAAGTGAATAAATAATAAATCAAAAAAAACAATGGAAAATACACAATAAAATATCTCCTCCCTCAAGAAGTACAATCGACCTCCCTTACATCCGAGGTCAAAGCCGGAGGTCACGGCGAGGTCACCACGACCCCGGCGACCACCTCTTCGCCTCGCCTGGTCCGGACGGGGCTGAGGCACGACCCCCTGGTGCCCAACGACGACCTTCGCGCCTATGCCTACGAGGGGGACGGGTCGTCTTCGGGCTCGCTCACCTCCACCATCTCCCGTCTGTTGGCATCTTCTTCGTATCATTTTTGTTATCATTTTTATTTCTATCATCATCTTGTTATTGGTAGTGTTGTTGTTAGTTTCTTTTATTTCTGTTATCATCCTATTATTACTAGAGTTGTTAGTATCTTTTTTGTTATCCTGTTATTATTATTGTTATTAGTATATTGTTTCTATCATCCTATTATTATTATTAGTGCTGTTAGTATCTTTTTTTGTTATCATCCTATTACTATTAGTGTTGTTAGTATTTTTTCTGCTATCCTATTATTATTAGTGTTAATGTTCGTATTTTTTTTCCTACATTATTTCTATTATCATTATTATTATTATTACTTTTTTCTTTTTTTTTGATCGCGTTGGTTACTTTGTTTGTTCGTTGTTAGCAAAATTCAAAAGTTTAGTTCATTCTCAAAATTTTCACCAGAGATTTTAGCTTAAATTTTTGTTGATCCGGATCCTGATGTGGATCCAGGATTTTTTTTAATTATTGCGTCACTATTGCCTTGCTTCCGCCAATCAGCTGATGTTCACTGTGTGTTGAGAAAAAGACTTGATTTTGATGTAATCCTTTCAGTGCGAATATTTTTACTGCATCATCGACCTTATTGCTTTGGCAGAGGTATGCGCTCTCTGAGTGCTTCTAGTTATCGTTGTTATGATTATTGTTATTATTTTTATTATTTTGATTATTGTTATTACTATAATGAGCGTTATTGTTATCGTTGTTGTTGTTGTCATTATCATGAATATTAGTGTTATCATTATTATCACTATCATCATTATCATTAATATTATTACTATTGCAGTCGTTGTTATTATTACTAATGTTATCATTAGTAGTAGTAGTAGTAATATTATCATTATTATTGTTGTTGTTATTATTTTCATCATCATTATTATATAGATTACTATAATAATTATAATTATTATTATCATTCTTATTTATATTATCACTATTCTTATCAGTATTATCATTGGTAGTAGTGTTGTTGTTGGTGGTAGTAGTAGTAGTAGTAGTAGTAATACTAGTAGTAGTAGTAGTAGTAGTAGAAGTAGTTATAAGAAGTAGTAGTAGTAGTGGTAGTGATAGCAATTGTAGAATTACATGTAGTAGTTGTAGTAGTAGTGGTAGTTGTACTTGTAGTGGTGGTAGTAATAGTGGTAGTAGAAGTAGCAGCACTAGTGGTATTTGTAGCAGCAGTAGTAGTAGTAGGAGGAGGAATAATAGTAATAGTAGTACTATCATTAGTGGTAGTAATAGCAGTAATAGTCATAAGGAATTGTGAATGACTGTTTCATTTCTAATTATTGAAATTCCCGAAGTGTTGCTGAGACGAGTTCCTCATCTGCACATAGGCTTTATTTGTTGTCGTTGTTGTTGCTCTTGTCCTAACCCCCCCTCCCCCCCTCCTCAGGCCTTCGCTTGGAAGACTCTGACGAGGGCGACATCAGGCCCCTTGTCCCCGAGTTCTTCGAAGTGATGGACCTCTTGAGAAACCTCCCGGAGGCCACCAGCACCTTAAAACAGCGTCGGAAGCCTCCCTCCCCCGTGGCTGAGACTCGACCGACAGACACCACGATAATAACAACAACAACAACAACAACAACAATAGTCTCCGCCCTTCCCTCGGGCGAGACGACGAGAGGGTCCTCCGGGTCGTGTAGTTCGGGGTCTCCTGCGAGCACCGTGGTGGAGAACGAGCTCAGCACACTCTGCTGAGGCTCGTGCGTCTGGGAGGCAGGGTCTGTGGAGATCAAAATGTTTTCTTTTTCTTCTGCTGTTGCTTCTTAATCTTTTTCTTCCTCTTCTTTTATCTTTCTTTCTTCGTAGGTCAGGGAGGTAGGGTCTGTGATCGAAATGTTTTCTTTGTCTTCCGCTGTTGTTTCTTAATCTTTTTCTTCCTCCTCTTTTTCTTTCTTCGTAGGTCAGGGAGGCAGGGTCTGTGATCGAAATGTTTTCTTTTTCTTCTGCTGTTGTTTCTTAATCTTTCTTCTCCTCTTTTATCTTTCTTTCTTTCTTCGTAGGTCAGGGAGGCAGGGTCTGTGGAGATCGAAATGTTTTCTTTGTCTTCCGCTGTTGCTTCTGAGTCTGTTTCTTCATCCTCTTTTATTTTTGTTTCTTTGTTCGTAGGTCAGGATAGCAGGGTCTGTGGAGATCGAATTTTTTTCTTTGTCTTCGCTGTTGCTTCTGAGTCTTTTTCTTCCTCTTCTTTTATCTTTCTTTCTTCGTAGGTCAGGGAGGCAGGGTCTGTGGAGATCGAATGTTTTCTTTGTCTTCCGCTGTTGTTTCTTAATCTTTTTCTTCATTCTCTTTTATTTTTATTTCTTTCTTCGTAGGTCAGGGAGGCAGGGTCTGTGGAGATCGAAATGTTTTCTTTTACTTCTGCTGTTGCTTCTTAATCTGTTTCTTCCTCTTCTTTTATCTTTCTTTCTTCGTAGGTCAGGGAGGCAGGGTCTGTGAAGATCGAATTTTTTTCTTTTTCTTCTGCTGTTGCTTCTTCATCGTTTTCTTCCTCTTTTTCTTCTTTCTTCGTAGGTCAGGGAGGCAGGGTCTGTGATCGAAATGTTTTCTTTGTCTTCTGCTGTTGTTTCTTAATCTTTTTCTTCCTCCTCTTTTATCTTTCTTTCTTCGTAGGTCAGGGAGGCAGGGTCTGTGGAGATCGAAATGTTTTCTTTTTCTTCTGCTGT